CCGAAGCGAGGACTTGCCCGGCCCTCGGGGCCCCTCCACCAGCTGCCATGTTATGCTGCGGCTGCTTTCCAGAACCCCCTCCCAGATTTTGGGGCTCCCTCCTTGGACCGGCCCTGGCCGCCCCCCCCCCCCCCCCCCCCCCGCCGGGGAAGGAAGAGCCAAGGGCCGCAGCTGCTCCTTGGCAGAGTCCCAGGGGGGCTGCAGGACCAAGGGGCTTCGAAAGAGATTAGGCCCCAGAGCATGCACAGAAGGCTTTTGTCTTGGGGTCTGCCCTGCTGGCCTCCCCTCATTTTATGCCCCCCCTCCCCCAGTCATTCCTGGGAGGAGAGCAAAGGCTTCTGCCCCTCTGGGCTGCCCTCCCTGCCAAGGAGGCTCTTCCAAATGCCCACCTCTAGCAGCCCCTTCAGGCGGTCCTCCCGGGGGAAGCAACCCTTGGCCTCCCATCCTCATCCGGAGCCCTGAAGCGGAATTCAGCCCTGCCGGAGGGAGCCTCCCAGCTGCCCCTGCCCGGCTCCTCTTGGGCACTTCCCCAGCCGGACTGAGCCCCCCTCCCTCGCTCGCTCACCTGCCAGCAAGAAGGTGATCAGGCAGGTCTCCTTGGGCAGGTAGAGCTTCAGGCGGGAGCCACTGAAGACGTATTCCACCACCGCTTCCGAGCGGCCGGCCCGCTGCAGGAAAGGCAGGAACTGCTTGGCCTTCTGGGTGTCCTGGGGGGGGGGGGGGGGGGCCGGGGGAGGGGGGCTGGGGACCACCCTCCCCCTAGAGCAAGAGGGGGGGGCTGCTGTGCCCCCTTCTTCCCGCCCGTCAGCTGCCCCGGGAGAGGCCCCAGCCTGAGGATACTCCCTGGCACGGCTGCCCTGGTGGGAAGCAGCCCGAGGGAGCAAAGGAGGAGGGTCTCTGCTGCCTGCCCACCAGCCGGCTCCCTCTACCCGCAGGGAGGCAAAGGAGGCCGGCTTGAGTTCACATGAAACCGGGGCTCTTTGCTGGCTTCACGGCTGGGGACCAGGACGGCCAGAGCAGCCAGCGTGCCACCCAAGCTGGCCAGGCCCAGGAGGGGCGGGCCGAGGCTGCCCCCTCCTTTACTCTGGCCTGGCCTGCCCTCCTTGGGTGCCGCTGGAGGAGCCCGGGCCCTCTTCTGGCAAGGGCTATGAACCGGGCTGTCTTGGGGACTTCACGGCCACGGCCTCTGGGCGCAAACTCCAGGAGAGCATCCAGGGACTTAGCAGCCCAGAAGGAGCCGGAGGGAGCTTCCCTGCCATGGCTGCCTGCCCTGGATGGCCGGCCTGGGGGCTGTGAATCCCCCCCTGCCCTGGCAGCAGGGAGCTTTGCGGGGCAGTCCTTGCCGTGCCCTCTGGCCCCTCAGGGCGAGCAGAGGGGCCACAGCACAGCTCTGCTCCTGGCCAGGGCCGTCCCGATCCAAGGCCCCTCACTGGCACAACCTGACTGACTACTGCTCAGCAGCCATTCCTCTCCGGAGGAGAGGCCAGCCGGCCCCTGCCTGGGGGCCCTTTTGGGTCCTGGACCCCGAGGGTCTCCCAAGGCCATCTTCCCACAGACAGGCATCTTGGGCGGCGGGCGGAGCCGGGCAGCTGAAGCCGAGGGGCTCTTGGGCAGCCTTGGGGCTGAGTGGCAGAGCACAGGCCCTCCTTTGGCAGCTGGCCCTCTGACTGCGGGGGGGTCAGGAGCAGCCCTTCCCTCCCTCCCTCCCTCCCTCTCCAGCCCCGTCTCTGTGGGGACGCCCAGCCCAGGTGGGACCCAAAGGTTTGCTCCTCCTCTTCAACCCTCCCCGTCTTAATTACCTGCAAATAGAAAGGAAATGACGCATCGCCCGAAGGAAGGAAAATGGAACCGTAGCTCCACATAACGTGGACGGCTGCCAGTTATACAAAACGAGCAAGCCATCAGGGGGCTGGCAAGAGGAGGAGGGATGGGGGGGGGCCTTGGCTTCGCCCCATGTAAAGCCCCAAACCGACAGTTAGGGAGCCCCCAATGGCCGTACCTGAGAGCCCAATTATTTGGCCAGTGGCTCTGGGGTAAGGTTGCTACGCCAGGCAGGCCAGCCTCCCCCCCCCCCTTGGGGGGGGGGGGGGGCCCCCTTTCAACCCGCCCCCCCCCCCCCCCCGCCTCTTCCTGGCAGCCTCTGAGTGTCTCAGCTGCAGGATCAGGTCAGGTGACCGAGGATGGCGGTGCTTCTCATCAGAGGCCTCTACCTGCCAACCGAGGTGGCTCCAAATTGCTTAGCTGCTGGCACAGAGCCCCTCACACCTCACGGGGGGCACAAGTGGGCGCCTCCCTCCCGGGCAATCAAGACTCCTCCAGGAGCAGTGGGGGCAGAGGGGGGAGGGGGGCTGTTTGGTCCACCCTGCGTTCCAGAAGGGTCAGGGGGGAAGCTGCCCGGCCGAGGGCCCCTGTGCCAGCCGAGACCAGGCTCTCTCTCACGGGAGGCTGCTCAGCAGGGCCTGGCACCAGCCAGGGGGCTGTGCGCAGGGGCCCTTCCCACTCCAGATCTCCCCTTCTGGATGGGAAGGTCCTCCTCTCCTCCCTGGGGAAGGGAAGCCAGACCCCCTCAGGAAGCCTGTCCGGGGCAGCCCTCGCCCCCTCCCTCCCACGAAGGCAGCTGGGGCCAACCGCATGGAGGCTCAGGGGAAGAAGGGGGGTCCCCAGGCCTAGCCCCCTCCTGAGCAGAAGAGAGACCCCTCTGCCCCGGGAGAACCTGGCAAGCGGGGGCCGGGCTCCCAAAGGGGAGTGACTGAGTGGCAGCCTTTCCCTCCTGCCCCCCTGCAGGAAGAGTCACTTGCCCTGGGGGCTGCTGGCGTGGGCCTCCCTCTGCCCCCCCCCCAGCCGGAGGGCCCCAGCCGTCCGGCCAAGCGGCTTTCCCCCCAGGAGACGGCTGCTCCCCCTGCGCCTCCCCCTCCCCTGGGGCCTCCGGCCTTCCTCTCTTCCAAGGCACAGGGAGGCTCCGGCCTGCTTGACCATCGTGGCATTGGGGGGACGCGGGGGCAGGGCTGGGACGAGGTCCCTTCCTTCTCCTGGGCCTGCTGGTGGGTAAAGGCCCAGCCCTGTGGTTGCCATCCCAGCCACTCCCGAGACGGCCCAGGAAGGACAGGCCGGCCACGCAGGCAGCCATTCGACTCCGCCCTCCTCAGGAACCCATCAAAGCCTCCACTCGCTCCTCAGCCACCTAAAAAACCCAAAGGCACCCAGAGGTCCTCCAGTCCAGCCCCCTGCCCAGGGCTACACCAGACGAAGGACTGCCCACCCCTGCTTGGAAACCTCCAGCACCGGGAGGCAGGCTGCTCCGAGGTTTGCCTGGAGGAGTTTGCAACCAGCCGCACCCAAAAGGCCGCTGGCTGGCAAGGGCAGCCTGAGCGCCTCAGCCAGACTGGAGCTTATGGAATTGGCCGGATCCAACAGGCAGTTTGGGCCAAACATCCTACGCCATCCCAGGGGGCCCGACTTCCTGGCTTCAGTTAAGGGGGGAGCATCTTCCAGAGGCCTCACCCACCCACCCCGATCAGCCCAGGGGACAACGGAGCCGCCTGTCCCAACCTGAATCTGCCCCTGGAAGAGACCCTCCAGCAGGGGGCAGGTTCCTTCCTAGTTCAGGAGCTCCATCTCTGGACCAGGGAGTTTCCTTCAGGGCCCCAGAGCCTAAGGCAGCTCAGGGGTCCCTTCTGAGAGTGGCCACTCAGAGGAAGGGGACACCCCACCGGGGCCACTTTCAGAAGTTCCTGGGTCTCCCTTGCTGGACAGAACAGGAAATGAAAGGAGCCCCAAGTCCTGCCAGCAGCCCCACGAGGACCAGGAAGCCCACGGGAAGATTGTGGAGACTGGCTCTGTGCCTCCTGCCCTGCCCCACCTCAGCCGCTCTCCGCTTGCCTTGGCCGTCTTTCGCCCTCGTCACCTGGGGAGCAGCTCTCCGGGATCCCTACCCAGAATCCTGGCCGTCTCCCTCACAGTCTCCTCCGTGGCTCTCCTCTCCAGCCCACCCCTCCAGTGGCCCCCCAGGTTCTGGTCAAGAGGAGGAGGAGGGAGGGGGCACAGGAGGGGCGTGGTCCTGCGTGGGGGGGCTCCTTTGATGCTCAGGGGCAGCCAGGCTGGGTCGTACCGGCTTCCTCCCCGCTGACCAACCAGATTCCCTTCTGAAGCAGGGCAGGAAGACCCCTCCCCACCCAGGATTGCTGGGGAGGAGCAGGGAAGAGCCTTGCCAGGCAGCTGATTCAGCTGCCAAGGGGGGAAGGCGAGGGGGGAACGGCACACGGCTGGCCGGAACCTGCCAAGAGCGGGCAGGAGGCTCCCCTTGAACGAGGGAGGCCACGGCTGCCCCAGAGGCCGCTTCCCCCCAGGATGGGCAGTGGGGTGGGGGGGAGGGAGGGAAAGAGGAGACCCAGAGCCCCCCTGGGCCCCAAAGAGTGCGGCTTACCCCGGAGATGTCAGCCACTCGGTGGATTGGGACCTCCTTCTTGCTGTGCAAGCCTTTGCCATTCTTGACCGCCCTGTAGGGGACAAGGGAGGGTCAGCAGCACCCAGGAACTGCAGAGCAGCCGCTGTGCTCTCTACCTCAAGAGCCTCCCCCTCCCTCCCCTATTTATTTATTTATTTATTTATTTTATTTTATTTATATTGCCGCCTATTCGCCCATGGTGACTCGAGGCAGCTTACACAATGTAAAACCATATTTAAAACAAAATAAAAATAAAAATAAAAACAATAAAAACTAACAAAAAGAATCAAATAAATTAGTAAAGTACAATAGAACAATATTTGGGAAAACAAAACAAAAAACAAAAAATCAAAAACCAACTCCCACCCTGACCTCCGATGACAGCAGATCACACTAGCCACCCGATGGGCTCCATCCCTCTCTGGGATCCCCAGGTCCACTAGCAGAACCAGGTCTTCAGTGCCTTTCGGAAGAGAGTTAGAGTGGGGACCATTCTAATCTCTGGGAGGAGGATGTTCCAGAGGGAGGGAGCCACCACGGAGAAGGCCTTTCTTCTGGGCCCCACAAGGTATATCTCCCTCAAAGGTGGGACCCACAACATTCACTGCCTCCCCGTTCTGGTGGGTCGGGTAGATGTGACCAGCAAGAGATGTTCCCTCAGATCACCTGGTTCCAAGCCATGAAGGGCTCTAAAGGTGACAACTAGCACCTTGAATTGCACCTGGAAGCAAATTGGCAACCAATGCAGCTCCCGCAGGGGAGGTGACACATGTGCACACCGGGGTCTGCATAAAACCATGCGGGCCGCTACATTTTGCACCAACTGGAGCTTCTGGATGCTCTTCAAGGGCAGCCCCATGTAGAGCGCGTTGCAATAATCAAGACGGGAAGTGACCAGGGCATGAGTGACTGTGAGTAGGGGCCACTGATCCAGGAAAGGGCATAACTGGTGTACAACCCGCAGTTGCACAAAGGCCCTCCTGGCCACGACCGCCACCTGCTCTTCAAACAGGAGTCGTGAGTCCAGGAAAAACCCCAGGTTACACACAGGGTCTGTTTGGGGTAGTGCCACCCCATCCAAGACTAAAGGTGGTAATTCTCCCTGAACCAACGAACCCCAGACCCAAAGCCACTCGGTCTTGCAAAGGTTTAGTTTCAACCTGTTGCTCCCCATCCAGCCCCTAACAGCCTCCAGGCACTGCGAGAGGGAGGACACAGCAACACTTAACTCACCTCGGGCTCAGACATACAGCTGAGTCTCATCAGCATATTGGTGACACCTCAGTCCATGGTGACGGATGATCTCACCTAGTGGCTTCAGATAAATGTTGAACAGGAGCGGAGAGAGTACCGAGCCCAGCGGAACCCCGTAAGGCATGTGGGCGAGGGCTGGATCTCTGTCCTCCTATCAACACTGACTGAGAGCGGCCGCAGAGGAAGGAAGTGAACCAGGACAGCACAAGGCCTCCCACTCCCATCCTCCGAAGCCACCCCAGGAGAATCCCATGGTTGATAGTATCAAAAGTCGCCGAGAGGTCAAGTAGAGCAAGGATGGATGCACTACCCACATCCTGCTCCCGCCAGAGATCATCTAAAAGTGCAACCAGTGCCATTTCTTTCCCAAATCCAGGCCTCAATCCTGACTGGTAGAGGTCGAGATAATCTGTTTCATCCAGAAACCTCTGGAGCTGCTGCATGGCCACCTTCTCAACCACCTTCCCCCAAAATGGAAGATTGGAGACAGGTCAGAAATTATCCAACCGGGTGGAGTCCAGCGATGATTTCTTAAGAAGAGGGCGGACCACAACCTCCTTAAAGTGCTGGGGCACCGTCCCCTCCTGTAGGGAAGTATTAACCACTGCCAGAGTCCACCCGCCTGTCACCTCCTGGGAAGCTTTCACAAGCCAGGAGGGACATGGGTCTAAAACACAGGTGTTTGTGCGCATACTCCCTAGGATCCTGTCCACCTCCTCGGGAGCAATAGGGTCAAACCATTCCCAGACAACAGGGCAAGAACCTGCCTCAGGAGCATCCACCGGATCAGCAACCACACTGGCATTTAACTGGGAACAAAGTCGAGCGATTTTGTCTTCCAGAAAACCCGCAAATTCCTCAGCGCGCCCCTTCAGGTGGACCTCTATCTCCTCCTTCTCTAGGAGGAGGAGGAGGCTCACCTTAAAGAGGGTCGCTGGGCGATTATCTGCAGACGCAATGAGTGTGGAGAAGGATTTACACTTCGCCTCACGAATCGCCACAAGGTAGGCCTTAGTAGCAGCTCTCACCCGTATTCAATCGAGTTTATCTCCTGTCTTCTGCCAGCGGCGCTCTAGACGTCTCCTCATGCGTTTCATCCCTCTCAGTTCCTCTGTATACCATGGGGCACAGAGAGGTCTACGGGTGAGGAGAGGTCGCAAGGGTGCAATCCTATCCAGGGCCCCAGTCCCCTTCCTATTCCAAACAGTGACTAAGAGCTCGGCTGAACTGCATAACAGATCTGCAGTTATAACCCCCAGCTCCTTCTGGAACCCATCTGGGCCCATTAGTCGATGGGGGTGGACCAATCTAATAGGTCCTGCCTCCCTGCGGGGGGATGCAGCTTTTGAGAAACTCATTGCCACCAGACTGTGATCTGACCATGACAAGGGGACCAAGGAGAGGTCTACCAATTCCAGGTCCCATAGACGCTGCTCTGACAAGAACACCAAATCGGGGGTGTGACCACTATTACTAGTCGGGCTCTGGATAATCTGGGACAGGCCCATGGAAGTCATGGTTTCTATAAAATCTTGGGCTACCTCTGACCCCAGAGAAGGCAGGTTGAAATCCCCCAGAACTACAAGCCGGTGTGTGTGTGTGTGTGTGTGTGTGTGTCCAGGAGCCCAGGTAGGGAAGCTGCCACGCAGCAGGGAGGCTGGTATAGCAGCAGCAACCCCACCTGATCCCTTGAGCCCAACCTAAGAAAAAGGGTCTCACAGCCTGGGACTTGTTGAACTTTGCCTCTGGAGGCTACTAGAGATTCATGACAACAGCCACACCTCCTCCCCGGCCCTGAGGCCTAGACTGGTGCCATGCTCAATAACCCACGGGGCACATTTCTACAAGAGGAACGCCTCCCTCTGGGCCCAGCCAGGTCTCAGTTATACAAGCCAGATCAACCTTCCCTTTGAGGATCAAATCGGCAATAAGGCTAGCCTTATTGCAAGCTGATCTCACATTTAAAAGCAGCAGTCTAAGACCAGGGCCAACGCAGATCTGCTGACCAGGAAAATGAGGTGAGTGCAATGGGGCAGAACACGAGATCGGTACTAATCGCGTTCCCTGTGCCTGCCCTCTCCCTTGTCTCCCATATCTCCCAAGACTAGGCACGCACGCCCCCAACTACCTCTATTCCAACTACTGCCGGCCTTAAATGCAAACTACTCAATGCAAGAAGCCTCGTGAATAAAATACCTGAATTTCTCATCCTACTAAATATGGCTAACTTCGACATTATATTTGTCTGTGAAACATGGCTCAATGCATCTCTCCCCGACTCCATTACCACAGTAAGAGACTATCATGTTTACCGATCAGATCGTGAAAATCGTCGAGGAGGTGGTGTTGCTATCTTCTATAAAAAATCCTTACATCTAAAAAATATCCAAGTTACCCAGGAGCTTGCTCTTCCTGAGACCATCATCTGTGAACTATCCTTAAATATCACAATTCGATTCTTACTATGTTACAGAGCACCTGATTATGACATCGAACATGTAAACAAGCTAAATACATTACTAACATGGGCTGCATCCTACCCATACCCTTTTATCTTTCTTGGTGATTTCAATCTACCTCATATTGACTGGACCCTAAATGATTGTACAACTGAAATCATACACACAACCTTCTATAATGCTATTACAAATCTGGGACTGGAACAACTAGTAACCAACAACACTAGACTAAACAACTGCCTCGATCTCATCTTCTGCAATAGTTTGAATTTAATTTACGGAATACAAACTAAAGAACCCTTTTCCAGCAGTGACCACAATATGATTGACTTTTGTCTCAACATACGTCCACACAAAAATCACCACAATGATGTAATCCCCAATTGTAACTTCAAAAAAGGCAACTATGATCTTATAGACAACGATCTCTCATCCCTTGATTGGCAATCTCTATTCACTGGATGCAATACTGTTGAAGACCATTACAACATATTTTTACTTGAAGTCAAAAGAGTCATCAAACTATATGTACCAACAACAACTCCCAAAACAAAACAAAAAAGCAGATTACCCATAACAATAAGGAAACTTCAATCCAAAAAGAGATCACTCTGGCGGAAAAACAAATCTAGTCACGTTGCAAATTTCAAAAGCCGATACAAAAATTTATGCCACCAGATAAAGACCGAATGCACCAATTATCACATTAAACAAGAGGAAAACCTTCTAAGCACCAATTCCACCCGTGCTTTTTACAATTTTGTAAACAACAAACTAAAAGACTCAAGGTCCATCCCTCCCTTGATAGGACCTGATGGTAAAGACTGCAACGACGACACCATTAAAGCCAACATCTTTAACACATTCTTCGGCTCAGTATTTGTAAACAGCAATGGATCATGCCCAGTATTTCCTAGCCGTACCACAGATAACAACAATGATCTAATACATATCGATTTCACAGAAGACAATGTTGAAAAAGCACTACGCAATCTAAAACCATCTCTATCTATTGGACCGGATGGAATATGTGCCTACTTCTTAAAAAAGCTATCCACTGCCATAGCCTACGCATAATCTTTGAAAAATCTTTCAGGACCAGCTTCTTGCCTAACCTATGGTCACAAGCCACAGTCATCCCCATCTTCAAAAAGGGAGACCCAAGCCTAGTTGAAAACTACAGGCCAATCTCCTTATGCTGCGTCACCTGTAAAGTCATGGAATCAATTATTAACCAATCCATCATCCTCCACTTAGAGACAAATAACCTACTCTCCAATAAACAATTTGGTTTCAGAAAAAAACTATCCTGTAATCTGCAACTCTTACACTGCAAAAA